AGAGAGAGAGAGAGAGAGAGAGGGAATCAAGATATGAGGTATCAATCATATTTTGCCAACTAGTTTTTATAAAAATTTCTTTCATGATCAGATATGCAGGTGCAGCAAAGCAGGCACCCTGTTCTCTGGCTGTGGTTGAAGATTCACTCTTTGGGGAAGGAAATTTGGTAATACACACCAGGGGTCAGTAATCCTTTGAAGATACTATCTCAAGGAAGTACTCTGACATACTGAAAAGGTTGCATGGAGTTAGTGGACATTATTTGTTGGCTGCCCAGGTGGGAAACCTGTTTCCACGTTTGCGGGTTCCTTTCCTAACTGTAATGCGCGGTGCTCTCAATCTCAGGCTCTCTTGCAGTTTGGTTGAACCACATGACCTTGGTTTAGCAGATGAAACCCATTGCCCTGGCTTCATTTTGGGAGGTAATGATTTGAGAAGCAGGAGTGGAGAGAATCTGCTCTGGGGTGGTGGAGACCCCAGTGGTATCTGGGTCCCAGGTCTCTGGCTGATTGGTGGTGGCTTTGCCCCCAGCCCTCCGCTGTGATCAGTGTGCTCTGCCCATTATCATTTTGAAAAAGACCCCAGCTCATATGCACGAAGATGTTTATGTCAGGATCCTGTCACTGCCAGCAGTAGAACTGACTCTGGCTTTGCTGGAGGTCTGGCTCTGGAAGCAGGTCTGCAGTGGTCGCCCTTTGGTAGGACGATCTGTCAGGGTGATGCTGCTCAGTGGGCAGGCCTATGGCTTTGTCTGTCTGCCAGATTACAGGGCAGGGTGGCTCCCATCCCACTGGCCGTGCCGGGTCGTCTTGCCCACCCCTTGGCCATCTTCCATTTGCCCCTCCACCTGTCTCCATCCCGCTTCCATCCTGCTCTGTGCCCGGGAGGCCAGCCAGTGAGGAGCCCGGCAGGATCCAGGGGAGGGAGGAGAGTGAAGGCAGGGTGTTCATTCCTCTCCTTGTAAGGTCCCTGCGACTGGACTTGTTCCTCAGCCAGAGGCCTAGGTCCTGTCGGATGTCCATCTCCACACAGCCCCTGACTCAGTGTGGGCAACTGCTTCCTCCTCTGGCCCCCCCCCGTGGCTGCAGAACCCCCCTCTCCACTCCCCAGACAACCAGCATCAGCTTACACTATCGGGGGCAGGGAGGTGGGGCCAGGGCCAGGGGACCACCTGTGTCTCATTAGGCCTGTTGGGCAAAGCACTGCAGATGTTAACTCCCTGCTGGCTCCGCCTGCTCCCTGGATCCCATCTGGCACTGCTCCGCTGGACCTGTGGGCCCCCTGGCACCCCAGCCCACCCCCTGCTTCCTGATGGGCCCCCTGCAGATGTCTGTTTATTCTCTCTCCCTCCTTCCCTGGCCTGTGTTTCATCAGCCATTGAAGGGGAGGGCAGTGTAGGTGTGCCTGTGTTCTGCTGAGGGGAGGCCCACTCTGGGGGAGCAGAAGGCTGGGGGGCAGCCTCAGAGCTCCTGATGTAGAAGCCTGGCTGGGGCTGGTGGGGGGACAGGGCGGCAGGGGCCAGGCAGTCTCCTGGCAGGCCTGGGACATTTCTGAGCCATGAGCACAAGGCTGCTGGCGTCCAGCTGCTCTGTCTGCCCCAGCTCAAGCCAGGGCCCCTCTCCAGCCCCTCCTTCCCTACTCCTCTTGCTCTGGCCACCTCAGGCCCCCTCCTTCTCCCCTCCCACAGCTCCCTGGCCCCTCTGTCTGGCTTACACACACTGGGTATGGGGCCTCTTTTGTGTTTTCTCACTCCACCCTTCTCTCCCTCTTCCAGACCTCTCACTTTGGCCCCCACCCGCCTCAGACTCTCCCTATCTGAATCTCCCGGCTTCTGGTCTCTCTCCTTCTGTCCTCGGCACACCACCAGAGGAGTTGTTCTTGATGGCCACTCTGATTATGTCACCCTCTGCTTAAACCTCTCCTGCTTCCTATTGCCTCAGAGCTAAGGCTGGATTTTTCACCTTGGATGTGAAAGGAATTTCAAGTTTGGCTCCAGCCTACCTTGAGGACCATGTCCCTTATGGCTGTGACTCATAAACTAGTCTAGCCACTCCAGACTACTCGCTGTAGGTCCCCATGCCTTTGCCTGCACTGTTCCCTGTGGTGTGCCCCCCCCATCCCTACCCCCGTCTTTTCTTCTTGGCTGTGAGTACCAGTGGGCAGGGCCCACGTCTCTCATCCATGCGCGTTCAGCACCCATCCCAGAGCCTGGCGGAGAGGAGGCCTGATACGCATATCACTCATGGAACAAATACCTTCTGAGCCCCTACTGTGCTGTACTTTGTGCTGGCCTCCAGGGATACAGTATCTGCCCCAAAGGAGTGGCAGACACAGGCTTTGGACAGTGAATTGCAAATGTAATGTGTGGTATGAAAGGACATTTGTTGAATGGATGAACAAAGGAAATATTCAGAGGCAAAGTGAGAAGGCAGCTTTGCTCCCCTCTCTCCACTCCCCTCTCTCCACTCCTGAGTCAATAGATAAGCCCCTTGGAAGATCCCCAGTCGGCCTCCTTGACTTCGTTCTGTGATTACCGGTTAAGAGTTGTCTCTGTTTGTAGTTGGGTCTTGTGCTGGGGGTTCTGGAGCCACCTGTTAGCTGGGTGACCTTGGACAGGTTACCTAGCCTCTCTGTGCCTCAATTTCCTCCTCTGTAAAATGAATCTACTTCATAGGATTAAGTAATACATACGAAGTGCCTGGAACAGTGCCCACAATTAGTAATATTTAGTAAATGTTAGCTATCATCATCATCATAAACATCCTGATTGTTCTCACATGAATGGGTTGTCTTCAACACGATTTTTATCCTTGTCTGTGGAAGAGACAGTTGGCTGCCCCTCGATATTCATTCTGCCTTAGTCCTGAGTAGTAAGATCCTAATTTTTATCTGAGTTTGTTGTCTAGCCTCCCTTGTAGGTAGGTGAGGTCACACATCAGAATTTTGCAGTAAGGCGCCCACAGACGAGTGGTAAGAGTGGGCAACTAGTCCTGCTTCATCCTGCCCTCTGTGCTGCTGGACGTGATGGCTGGAGCTCCAGCCACCACCTGGTACACCAGGGATGAGGCCTTTATCAGGGGATGGCAGAGGAGGAGCTGGCACGGTCCCTCATGACTATTGAGTGGGTCAAAGGCCACCCTGGCCTGCCCTTCTCTGGGCCCCTTTTATGTGGAAGAGAAAGAAACTTCGATGTAGTTTAAGCCTCTGGTGTTTTTTTCTGTTACACACAGCTGACTCTGATCCTAATCTCTTCTTTCAGCAGATGTCAGCTAATTTTAGCACAAAGCTACAAAAAGGAAAATAATGAAAAATCAGTCATCAAAACAAATAATAAAATGTGTCCAAAGTGAAGTATTGAAGACTTTTGGGGAATACAACTAATGAATGTAGGAACCAAAAAAAAAAAAAAAAAGAGAGAGAGAGAGAGAGAGAGGGAATCAAGATATGAGGTATCAATCATATTTTGCCAACTAGTTTTTATAAAAATTTCTTTCATGATCAGATATGCAGGTGCAGCAAAGCAGGCACCCTGTTCTCTGGCTGTGGTTGAAGATTCACTCTTTGGGGAAGGAAATTTGGTAATACACACCAGGGGTCAGTAATCCTTTGAAGATACTATCTCAAGGAAGTACTCTGACATACTGAAAAGGTTGCATGGAGTTAGTGGACATTATTTGTTGGCTGCCCAGGTGGGAAACCTGTTTCCACGTTTGCGGGTTCCTTTCCTAACTGTAATGCGCGGTGCTCTCAATCTCAGGCTCTCTTGCAGTTTGGTTGAACCACATGACCTTGGTTTAGCAGATGAAACCCATTGCCCTGGCTTCATTTTGGGAGGTAATGATTTGAGAAGCAGGAGTGGAGAGAATCTGCTCTGGGGTGGTGGAGACCCCAGTGGTATCTGGGTCCCAGGTCTCTGGCTGATTGGTGGTGGCTTTGCCCCCAGCCCTCCGCTGTGATCAGTGTGCTCTGCCCATTATCATTTTGAAAAAGACCCCAGCTCATATGCACGAAGATGTTTATGTCAGGATCCTGTCACTGCCAGCAGTAGAACTGACTCTGGCTTTGCTGGAGGTCTGGCTCTGGAAGCAGGTCTGCAGTGGTCGCCCTTTGGTAGGACGATCTGTCAGGGTGATGCTGCTCAGTGGGCAGGCCTATGGCTTTGTCTGTCTGCCAGATTACAGGGCAGGGTGGCTCCCATCCCACTGGCCGTGCCGGGTCGTCTTGCCCACCCCTTGGCCATCTTCCATTTGCCCCTCCACCTGTCTCCATCCCGCTTCCATCCTGCTCTGTGCCCGGGAGGCCAGCCAGTGAGGAGCCCGGCAGGATCCAGGGGAGGGAGGAGAGTGAAGGCAGGGTGTTCATTCCTCTCCTTGTAAGGTCCCTGCGACTGGACTTGTTCCTCAGCCAGAGGCCTAGGTCCTGTCGGATGTCCATCTCCACACAGCCCCTGACTCAGTGTGGGCAACTGCTTCCTCCTCTGGCCCCTTCAGGTCTAGGGGTGGTGACAGCTCTGGTATCATCAGCCCAGAGATAAGGGACCATCTTCTGCTCACACCTCAGTAAACAGTCCTTTTAGTAAGTGCTACTCAAATTGTTCTAATTTGAGTGTTATTTGATGGGACCCAGGCTGATATGGGGAGAGAGGGGTCCCGATTACAGCATGGATGTTCTAATACAGAAAATTAGTGTGAGAGTAGGAGGGGAAGTGGATGCAGGCACACAAAATACCCTCTTCAGTATTCATTGTCATTGATACCCTAAATGGTCAAACCCAAATGGCTGAGTAAAGTCTGATGACTCCTGTGTTTCCTGGATGTCATTTGGTAAGGTGTTTGCTCAAGTTGGATGGCTCCTGTCCCTGGATTAGGCCAGCGCTGGTTCTCTGCCCTGCTCGACCCTCTCCACCCTCTTCTGTGCGGGGGGCTGCCCTGTATGGAGGGCAGCACT